GTCATTGTTGTTTGGCGGGTCCGGGCTGGGGATTCGAACCCGCCACCTTAGGTGTACGTGGCTGGCGCCTTAGCCGGTTGAGCTATAGGCGCCGAGCCCACATTTACTTTACTATAATCTTCAAATTGAAGAGATTGAAGAGAGTTTTATATCTGAAGGTTAAGAAACTGAGATAATTAGAAATTATGTGCTCTCTGCTACTTTCTACTAACTGATTTTGTGCTCAGTTGGATTTCCTCTTTTAGAATATTTTTTGGGAAGTGCAACAAAGTTCCTTTTCACATTTCTCTGCCAAACTGGCCTTTTGGAAAGTTTGGAGTACCCCATGTCCCATGAAAGTGTCCCTCATCTCAGGGAGCAGTGGGACTAGGCCTTACATTCCTATTTGCCTCACTTGAGGCAAGTTTCCCACCTCCTGCTAGAATCAAGCTCCTTTTCACATGTTTTGTGCCTCCCCTCCTATCCAATTCTGTGTTTTGCAATGGGAATGTATTGAATCATTCCTTTTTCTCTCCGTCCTGGATCACCCTCCTGAACATACAAATATACTGTTATTTCTCTTGCCTTAAAAACATGGACTTAATCACACTGCCTTGTTAATCCTGAGTGGTCAGACCTCTTGGAGTTATCCTGTCTGTGAACACAGAACCAGCCAATCTGATAAGTAGTGACTGTCCTCCTTCTGCTTGTTGCTCCTTGCCACAGCCCTGAGTTTTTTATTCTGAGGCATTAATAGTGGGTTACTTGTAATGACAGGCCTTTGCTTAGCCTTTGCTCTTCAGTGCTTCTTTGACTTCTCTGGTACCTCAGATCTCAGGGAGGGAACTTAAAATACTCCAAATACTTTTTCTTTTTCTCAAGCTTTTTGGTCAAAGCTGGTGGGCATAAATGAAGCTAGAGATACAAAGACTTCCTGTCCCAGTGGTTGCCATACCTCCCGGCAGAAGCCCACACTTCCTGCTGTCATATATGCCACTGCAGGGAGAGAAAACCACAGAGCTGTAAATCTCTCCACTGCAGTGTCAAGTGTCTCCAATGGAGGAAAGGCCTGTAGTCAGCCTGTCACTCTTCTCTATGCTCAACTCCCAATTGGACCTAATGTTATGATTCCCTATAGCAGAAAGTAAGGATACACTATGCATGTAGCCTGGTTGAGTGCCATGTGAGGGACAAAGGGTACCCAAATGTAAAACAGGGAACTCAGAGAGGTTCCATGTTTCTTCCTCCCTGGCTTTCAGAGGGGACAGGAAAGTTTAGAGATCCAAAGGACTCCTTAGGGATTTCATCAGTTGCAAATAGCTCTTTCCACAAGCCTGTACCCCTTCTCTGTACTGAGCCAAGATGGTAATGTCTATAGCAAACATTCTAGATCAAGGGTGAGTGGGGAGCAGAGAAGCCTCAAGAGCAACCAGCCACTAATTTCTATCGAATATCATTCTGTTTTTTGAGCACAGAGTAACCTTTGCTTATCTTACCTCAAGGCTTAGCTCTTTCCAAGGTTCTTATTCTGTTAAGGAAAGTTCCTTTTAATTCTTACAGTGTTTTGCAACAGGGCACTGATAGCTTTAAGCCAAACAGTTTCTGCCATATCTCCCTGCCTTATGACAAGCAAGAAACACATATTTTCAGATGTTCCCTAGGGGAATGATATTATTCCTGGTTGAGAAACACTGTTATTAATTGGGTGAATGCTTAAGTGACTGTCATATTTGAAAAATATTCTTTGACCCACAGTTTTCCCCTCTCTAATCAGATATCTCTAATAGTTGGCTATATTCCTCTTTCTACTTTTTTTACTTCACATTCATTATGGCTCCTTCTACCCCCACCTGAGTTCAAATAGATTCCCAGAGTTGTTTAGCTACATGATTTTGGATGTATTAATTGATCTCTCTGAATCTCAATTTTATTATATACGGGATGGGGATAATAAAAGAATAGGTACCAGTGTGAACTTTGTCAATGAATATGGGTTCTGGTTCTACCAACACTTTCCTGGGCACATGTTTGCCAGCACCTGTCTCACTGAAGAAGGTATTTGAATCATCTCCTCCTATGCTATGTGTTCTGAGGATGCATTTTTATTGACTTAAAAACTTGAGGGATACATTAATGAGTTTGATGTAAGCATTCCAAATTGTATATGAAATCAGCACATTGTACCCCATGAATGCATTAATGTATACATGCTCTATATGTTTATGACTTAATAAAAAAAAAAACCTGAGTCCAAAGAGCTCTGAGTACAATCATAGATGAAGACATTTTTTCTACAGCTCATTTATTTGTTTGAGGTGTAAAATTTCCCACTGATCCCCATGGTTTAACATTCCTACTGTATTGGGTTTTGACCCAACCAAAGCTATCATGAGACTATGGATTCCAGAGTCCAGCTACACTGAGGTCTTGAGGAGGTGCTCTCGGCACTGCTGCGGACTTCTGGGCTCCTGGAGAGCCACTGGGCAAGAAGGCTAGGGTCCTGGGGAGCTCTGGGCATCCTCCTGCCTACTCTAGTTTTGGAGATTAAATGGATCATGGCAAAGCACTTAGACAAGGCTTTCTCAGGTAGGAAGTATAACAAGCTCTGCTACTTAATTCTCTAAAAATTCTGTCAGTGTTTTAATCATCCTTGTGGTTTTTATGGAAAGATAATTATATTACCTTCAGATAAAGGAAATCCTGTCCTTTCCTCTCCAATGAATATTATTTTTTTTGTTGGCTGATTCTGTAGAACTTAAGTAAAGATGTTAGATGATTCTGGCAATGATGGACAGTTGTGATTTGTATCTGATTTTGATGTATTACATTGGCTCTTAGACTGAGATAGATAATGCTAAGAAAGCTCCCTTCTTCATTACTATGTTTTTAAAAGTGTGAGTACACATTAAGTTTCTGTCACATGCCTTATACTGTGTCAATCATAATAACTGTATAATTCTAATCATTCTAACTGCACTGTGAATTGCATTACTAGACTCCCCAATCCTGACTTATCCTTAAAATCATCTAATAAAGTAGACTTGGAGAGCCTGAGGAGCAGGAGCAATTGGTCCTGTAACTTTTTATTGAATTGCCTCTCTACAGGCCTGGCGCAAGCGTTGGTTTGTCCTCCGGCGGGGCCGCATGAGTGGCAACCCTGATGTCTTGGAGTACTACAGAAACAAGCGCTCAAGCAAGCCTATCCGGGTAATAGACCTCAGTGAGTGTGCTGTATGGAAGCATGTGGGACCTGGCTTTGTTCGGAAGGAATTTCAAAATAATTTTGTGTTCATCGTCAAGACCACTTCCCGTACATTCTACCTGGTTGCCAAGACTGAGGAAGAAATGCATGTGTGGGTGCATTGCATCAGTCAGATCTGCAACCTTGGCCACCTAGAGGATGGTGCAGGTAAGCATGCAGTTGGGGCTCCTTTATGCTAAGGGGTAGCCTGGGATGCTGCATCTGCAGAAAAACAGTTCAAGGTGCCAAGCCAGCTTTCTTGAAGGCATGTTGCCAGGCTAATTTGTATCAGAACTGTTCCTGCCAAGTACAGTACTGGAAGTTGCTTTTGCCTGGTTCTAGGATTCAAGTCCAAATAAGGAAAAGCAAGATCTATGTACACATTGAGCATTGCAGGTGACTGATAGCTTTAAAAGCACTTTGCATCTTTGCTCTCATTTACCATAGAAAATGTACGTGTTAAAGTCAAGTATAGGTGAAGATGTCCTACAGGGCTCTGATTTTCCCCAAGATAATGACATTCTTGATTTTCATGATATAACAAATATTACCATATTTCAAAAATTCATGCATGGAATTTCAGCTTTTGTGGTGCCTTTTGGGTTTTTAGATACTAAATGGTAGAAACACAGAACTTGGCTACTTAGCATAGGCAAGAAAGAATTCCTCATATCTCTCAACTGTTTCAATTTCTCTGCAGGATAAATTAGTTGTAAGCTGTAGCAGCCTGTATAGCTTATGGCTAGGAGGAGTGAGAGTTATAGGAAATACTTGTAATGGAACAAACACCTTGGTGAAAAGTACATGGAGAGAGATTTGGTTCTAACAAGCATGAGAGAGCTTGCGAGATGAGAGCATTGGTGAATTGGCAGTCTCTACACCTGTGGTGTTGAGAGGCACGAGCTCAGCCTTATATTAGGCTGGAGGACAAGGCAGTCAAAAAGCATGCGCATTCTATCATGGACACGCTTACTCTGGCTCTGTCTCCTCTTCTGCCTGCAGAATGCCAGCATGGTGTCTCTCTGCTGAAGATTACCAAGCTCTGCCAAAGACTAAGATCTATCTATGCTAAGAAGATGGCTTTACTCTAAGACACATTCTCTCTTTCTGTCTCTCTCTCTCTGTAGCTAAAGTAGATAGCCCTCAAGCACCTAAGAGAAAGTGTTCCTGATCAAGATAGCTTAGCGGTCCGCGCCAGGAACCTACCTAAGCCAGGCCCAAGACCTGGCCAGTCCCAGGCCCTGACAAATGGTGTCAGAAGCAGATCCTGACAATAAGTCTTCTTTTTTTCTTTTCTTTTCTTTTTTCTTTCTTCTTCTTCTTCTTCTTTTTTTTTTTTTTTTTTTT